CAACTTCACATTCACAGACAGGAGGCATGCAGGCAGGGAAGCAGGGTTGCTATAACTTCTCGGATATAAGAGTTGTTCCAGACACCTTCCATTACCACTGTCCAAAATTGCCCTTTAAGCATTGTGAGAGTTCAACTGCTTTATGGTTTTTCCCCCATTTTTCATGTTGGACACGTGGCTAAAGGAAACACTATTAAATTATAGTTATGTGTTTTGATTGAGTTGGGATCAAACTAAATGAGTCCTTACTGCCTTGAAAAAGGATTTATGTGAAAATAACTCAAGGAATTTATTTGTGTTTCCTTATAGGTGGCATTAAGTGTCCTGTTTGCAGCTTCGTGTACGGTACAAAATGGGAGTTCAACAGACATCTTAAAAACAAGCATGGAATGAAGCTAGTGGAACATGATGGGGAGACCAAATGGGAGGTAAAGCAAAGTTGCGATGGCTTTGGCCCTAAGATTTTAAAACATTATAAGGAGAAAAGTAAGGATAAGAATAAGAAGTATTCGAAAATGTGTTCTTGCCTTGATATAAGATCAGGAGGTCATGTGCTCTCATCTCTATTTTGATGCATACATTGCTATGACTGTTAAGCTTGACTGCTTTAATATCTGGTAGGATTAAAAACCTGGTAAATGCTTATTTCTGCATTTTAGGGCTCTAGTCCTCTATTTGCAGCAGAAAGGGTGAAAGAAAAAAAAAGTAAAATTGAAAGACTTACTGCATTTTTTTTATAAGCCAAATGTTCGCTGGTATCAACTGCAAGATGTGCAAAGCTGCAAACTTACATTGAATTAATGAAAAAAGCTTATGTCCAGAAAAGGTTAGAATCTAGGAAACTGAATTTGTGAATTGATCAGCTAAAAAGATGGTAGTTATACAGAGTAAGTCTTCTTTCATTTTTCTGTGTTTTCAGCTTCAATCCGAAGTATATAGGAAATCACAGTATCACTGAGATCAGACCTTACAAAATTTTTGTTAGACTGCAGTGGTCAATGGCAGTTGGCCGACCTCCACAGTTTTAAGACCTGTTCTGCTAAACTTCAGGCCGTCTAACGCCTGTTACAAATCTAGTGCCTGATTTGGAAGAGCTGTCCTGCAGTTCTTGTTTAACAGTTTCTGAGCATCCATGAGTAGAATGTTAAATCTTTGAAAAATACCAGAGTAGGTTCTATATGGACAGTTATTCAAAGATGACAGGGGAAGCATTTTAAAATGTAGCCCTTTAAAGTCTTGAATCCACATGCATTTCACAAACGATTCTCTGTACACTTCCCTAGTAGATGCCCAAACCTGAAAAAATAAAAGGACATCCAGGATGGAAACGTGTCTCTGCTGCTGAAACTGCTATAAATAAAGAAGTCCCATCAAAGCAGCAATACATATTGACAGCTTGTCTTGAAAAAACATAGCTATGGAAAGGATAATTTTTCTAAAGCAAAATGCCGTCTTCAAACCTCAGGGGCATTTTACCATATCTGCAAGGACATGCATTATAAACTAAGTTTGCCCTAAAGGTCTTTACTACACCCTGATGCAGTGCAGTCTGTTGTTAGTTCTAAAATAACTGTGCAACAAAAATGAAGTCAAGAAAATTTAGCATGCTTAAAACAACTTTTGAAGTGGAATCTAGAAGAAGACTATGGGATGATGTCCCAACTCCCATGTAATATTCTTCTTGAATTCTGTTTCACCCAGTATTTCTGTAACTCTTGTTGCAGTATTTATTGTTCAAAACTTATTTCTTTAAACTCAGAATTTAATTGTCCTCTAAATTGCTAAAATGAGAGTGAGATTATTCATGCCTTGGCTGCGTTTTGTTTTCAAGTTAACTGCTGAAGTTTCTGAAGAAGCATCCACTCAGTATCTCCATATCACGGAGGCTGGAGAAGATGTTCAAGGCACTCAAGCTGCTGTAGCTGCATTACAGAACCTTAGATATACTTCTGAGAATGGTAAGTTTCCTTTTTTAGGTTGGAATAAAAAATACATCTTTTTCATAAATATCTAATTCTTTTGAGTATGCTGGGTAATATAAGATCGATCTCCCGTGAAACTATTAAAAATAACAAAATTTGTCATCCAGAATTTAGTTTTGGAGGATTATATTTTTCTTAGAGGGTAAATAATGAGAAATAGCTATTCTCTATTAATTTCTTTATCCTTAAGTCATTAATACTTATCACACTCTGGTTTGCACTTTATTAGGTGTGTGGAATTTCCTGCCTGTGTTAAGTATATTGTGAAGTCAGCTGTCTTGGCAGAGTAGATGGTTTGCATCTAATGGCAATTCTCTAGCTATTCTTTTTCTCACTGCTTAAGTCAGGCAGAGTGCAGGAGTGACACAGTGGAATAGCTCATTTACCGTGTTCCCAAGACAGTACCGACAAACTTATTTCTGGTGGTACACAAAACAAAGTAAGCCATTCTGTATCAGACTGAGGAAGAATAGGAGTGGGATTAGATAGTGATTGCTAAGTGGGAAATAACACAAACTGGAAGAAAAGATAAAATGTCCGGGTTTCTGAGAGTGCTAAAACATCAGAGACTAGAGTAGGTGTTTATATGTTTGGTTTTATATATGTAAATAAATGTGTTGGTTATCAGAAGAAAGCATTTTACAATTGTTTACTATTGTGGTCTTTATAGATCATAACACAGATACATTTCAAAAACTCCCACTTTTAATGGAATTTCCAGGCATGTTGCAATTAAATTACCTTACTGACAATTTCTGTATATTATTTGATTTTAATGGCTGGGAATTCTGAATGAGTAAAAACCTGTCGAGAGCTTTTCTTAAGCTTTTATATATGTAAATTAAACATATTCGTGGAATATGCTGTACATGAGAGTTTTGATTTTAAGCATGAGACTATAGTTTTCAGAGTAGAATGATTTGCTTTTTAGTGCATCCAACTTCAGATACTCTTCCCGTGTACTCCCTCTAGGTATGAAAAACAGTAGTAGCTTGTCTAAAGGCAGTTACATAGAAAAAAAAAAACTAAAGCAAGCAAGCATTTTTCAGCACTCAGATAAACTTATTTCTTGTTTAGATAACAAATATAACTACTTTCTGTTTGAAATGAAATTATCTGACCTAGATCCCCATCACAGTATCAACCTCAGTTGGGAAGGGTTTAGGGTTAAGAGATGAGCTTTATTCTATTTACTGTCTCTTTCCTAATTCCAACAGTGATTACAGCAAATATCAGGCAGCTTTAACATGACTCGTGACAGTTTCTTTCCCTTTCTGACATGTCTCTTATGCTGACAGTGGACATGTGGGAATGGTGGGCCACGGGAGGGAAATTCATATTCCTGCATAACCAAAAAAACATTTTCCAGTGTCCAAATCTTTCCTTTTCACACTTAGGGAGAAGTGATTGTACAACTATGTAGGGAGAGGTTTTTTTGTAAACTTGCCTTTCCTTTGGCAGGGCTATACACATCAAGAGGATTTTAGAAAAAGGGGCAGACATGTTCTGATCCCGTGCTTATAAAATGATAGGCATGAGCTCGCTCAAGGAATTACCTTATCCCTTCATCACGTTGGTGATAACAGTACTTCTTTCAGGATGAGGGGTATTGCAGATGGCTGGACAGATGCTAAACACAGGTTTGTAATGTATCAAATAGATGTTGTGGTTATAGGTATAGAGCTCAGGTTCTATTTATGCCGAATGTCTGGCAAATACACGTTTGGATTTGTAAAGTCTTGCAGCTTCCTAATTTACAGTTACTGCTATGAGTTGTACCTGTGTTTGTTTATTCAATGTATTCTTTTAGATCTCTTTCAAATAGGCATAAAAACGATCAGCGTGGCTTCACTTGCTGATTCGTGCATTCCTCGGGCAAATTTGGTTTGTGAATACTTTGCTGCCATAGATCTATTATTAAAGCGTCATGTTATTGAGCTATTTGAAATTTATAAACAGTGCTGTGAGTCAGGGTTAAGGCAAGAGGGGATTTTTTTTTGAAAGAGTGCCTGTAGCACTTAGATTCCCATACCCTTAGAGCTGTTTTACTGTGATGATCTTACGGTTATTGTCTTTCTGATAAGGTGAAAGACTTGATCCAACAGCTGTAAACATCCTGCAGCAGATCATTGAGTTGGGTTCGGAAACCCATGATGCCACTGCAGTTGCTTCTGTAGTTACCATGGCACCTGGCACTGTGACAGTGGTAAAGCAGGTAAGAGCTCTTTTCTTCTCTAAAACAGCTATATTTCATTTTCATATATTTATTGTGAAATGAGTATTATTTTGCAAGGGCTACATTCTGAATGAACATGCAAGACATATAGAGAATTTTTCCTAAACTAATTTTTTACTACGTGTTGTATGCATGTTTGTTTATATGCCCACACACATACGTGCTTATACATATACACATATATTTTATACATATTAAAATTCATACATTTTTGCACGTATATAAAATATGAATGAACAAATACACATTTATATATACATGTCTGTGAGTGTGAAAATACGGCTTTTTTTGAAGCCGGCGTTTTCAGGCTGTTTAAAATAACATGTCTGCGTTGTGCATGGGCACTTAGCTGCGCTGTTGTCTAAAAGAACCAGGAGGACCTTAGCACAGCATTCCTCCGGGTACAGAAGAGCATGAAAGGGTGTTGCTTGTGCAGAGCCGTGCGTGCTCTGCAACCGTAGTGCGGTAGGACCATACCCAAAGGTGAACCATCGTTGTTAGTCCTTGCAGTGCTGTTCTGTGGCTGAAGTTTGACAGACTTGTGGGGTCCTAAAGTCATGTGCTCTGGGTAAAAACGAGACTTCTCCTCAGTCTGAGTTCACACTGCCTTTCTGATGAGGGTTGCAACACAAGGGATCCGTGGTGGCATAACAGCCCCAGGAAGAATGTTGCAGGTGCTCCTTACAGCAGTTGCTTATGTGGGACAAAAGTCAGCATGGCCCCTCACATTTGAGATAAATAAAGAAAAACTCAATTGAGTTGTAGTTGGTTGAAAAGATCTGTAGTTAATTTTGTTGTTACCAGGGAATTTGTGCAAGATCAGAAGATAAAGATCAATATTTAAAAAAAAAAACCATGTATAAGATTGATTGTTAATTTCAGGCTTTTGCATGCATTCTCTGTCCAGAAAAATGGTGGATTCAACTGATAATTGAGTGACACCATTTGTGTTAGGCAATATAGTTCCTCTTAAAATGAGACAAACCTTATAAGATACTAGTGGAAGTAACTTTAATGTCTGTATATTTTTCTTGAAGTTTGGTACTGCAGTTTTTGCTAAAAATACTTGCAATGTACAGTATTACTAAAGCATTTGAAAATTAAGAGTGATAAGATATACAAAATCAGGAAGTAAAAGGAAATCATTTTCAATTTGAGGTGGCTGTTGAGTGCAAACATCAAGACTTTTACTCAGTATTTCTTCCTTACAGAGTTCTGCTAACCTTGTTGCTGTTATTTTACGTTTCTCCTCACGGTGTTCTCCAGGCTCCACATGTTCCTCCTGTTTCATCTTAACTCTCTGCTTATCCCTTTTCCCCTGCTCCTCATCGATTCCTAGGGATCTCTGCAGTCAGTGAGTTGATAGGAGAGGGAAGGAATGTAGACGAGAAGTCTTAAATTCCTGAAGAGTTTAAGTAACTCCTTCTATTTAAATGAACCAAAACTGATTATTCTGAGTGCTAGAACTAACTTTTAAGTTCAGTGGTCTTTTGTAGTGTTGTGAACATTGAGTTCATGAGAGCTCCATAGAAGTGCGAAGTCTGTAGTCTGTGAAGGGAGTATTTGAATAATTCCTAAACTGCCTAAATATCAGAGAGACAAGGCAGAATTCTGAAACAAAGCATTTTGAGGTTTTCCTTTGCAATACTTTAACAGGTATTTAATTCAGTTATTAAAGAGAAGAGACATTTTAGTCCTATTATGTGCAAGTTTCAGAACAACTTTAGAAGTAGAGTCACTGCCAACATGCAGGCTGTGCTAGATGTGCGACCTGTTTAGGGGTTGAATACAGTATGAGCCGTTGGCGTTTGTGCTGTCTGTCAATATTACTGAAACCTTTTCTTTCCTTAAAAATGCATGTTTTGAGGCCTTTCTACTAAAAGCATAGGAGAAAGTGATGGTTGAAGTAGCAGCTGCCAAGGAGAAACTAGGTTTTGATATTTTAATGTTAAACTTTAAAAATATATAATTAAAAAAATCGGTGATTCTTCCTCCTCCAAGTATTAAAGCTGATCAATGTCTCATTCATCATAAAATCTATCGTCTTCCTTGTTAAACCATCTGAAATTGCCGGTAGCTTTTTGTGAGTAAATGTTTATATTCCAAATTAATTTTCTCCCTCACTTTTTAATCCATATTTCTAGCCTTTTGAGTTTACAAGCTGCTAAGCATTGATCACTTCTTTTCCCTTGCTGTGTATACGTCAATGACTCTCACCGGTCTGATGTCAACTGTTACAAGCTCCACTCCTATATTAGATCAAATATTGACTTCTCAGAGCACAGAATCTCTTTGCTGATTTCCTTTTTCCTTTTTTGTTTTCTCCCCCCCCCCTTTAGAGTCTTGTTAGTATAAACCACCTTTTTTCCCCTAACTTGAACTTGCACAGAAGCAAAATCAGTGAAGAATTTAAGTACATCTCAAGCTGAGTGATCTTGTGCTACCTCTGTTTACGCTGGGTGTTACTAACGCCTTCCTTTGATGCTTGAAGCACCGTTCCTCTGTTAACATGTTTCTTGGGTGTGCTGGAACGGGTACTCCTTCCTTTCTCTGGTAGCCTCAGTGACTGTGCACTGTGGGTGTGTACAAGTGTGCAGATCGGTGATTTCCCCGGGGAGGATCGGGTTGGCAGTATGCCTACTGACAGCTGACTGACTGCTTAGTTACCTTCGGTGGGCTCTATGGAAGCAGAGCAAGGACCACGGGAGGTCTGTAGATGGTGGTGATCATCAGTTCTCTTTTAAATTTTTCTCCTTTTGTTTTTCTCTTTTAATTCTTTCTCTTTTAATTTTCTATATCAATCAGTGTTTTATCAAAGTCTATCTGAACTGTTACACAGCTTTAGTTAGTTTCCAGTTCTGGTTTTCCCACCAGAAGATTGGGTCAGAATTAACAGGCACACCCATTTTTAGTTTGAGGGAAAGAAACCTTTAAATATCTTTAATGTGTCTCTAACCCTCTCCTATTCAGAATTGTCAGCTTTTCTTTTTTTTCTTCAATACTGAGTTGCTTTCTATGGGATATCACTCATTTGTACCTATGATTTTGTCAGGTTGTAATTATGCTGAGTTCCTAATTGTTAACCATGAAGTCATCTTAAGACATGTTCATATTTCACTTTCCTGCTGGAAAATTTATTCCACACTCTCTTCTGTGACCTTCAGCTTCTCTTGTGGATTATGAGACAAAAAATTCGTTCGGTGTGTCAGCAATATATTAGCATCATCTGTCACTGAATTTCCACTCTTGCTCTTTAATGGCCTCACCGGGTCCTTGCTTAGCAGCCTGGTTCCATTTTTCTCGTTAACAACATTTATTGTAGTTATTCTGATTTTGGTGCTGTTATGTTGGGTTTTTTCTTTTTCTCTAAGACCATATGTTATCCAGTTTTTTCATCAGTTCTTACCTTCGTATCTCATTTTTAGCTAGCCCTTGCAAGTTGCCTTCATATTTCTATATTTGCACCAAGAAATTTCTTCTAAATCCTAAGTTATTAGAACGTTTTAAAAGTATGTTTTGCTGTAAATGTTACAGTATATTGTTAGTATCTTTGTCTCCCATTTCATGCCTGGAACTTTCTCCCATAGCTGTCTTACTTTTCACCCATAAAAGTACTATTTCTACTTGATGCTTCAAATTATGTGTGAATCCAGATGTATCTATCAGTAATGCTGCCATCTTCATGCTTTAGCACTTCGCCTAACCTGTGTGCTCCGATACCTTCAGTGTGCAGTGCTTGTAGTGTTTCAGCTTAATGCAAGACTTTTGCTTGCAGAAACAAACTCTGTCTTTATCCATAAGTCCTTCTCAGCATATTGCAAGATGGCCAGTGTATTAGCTAGATCTGACTGGTATATTTTTAAATTTGTTTTCTGCTAAGCCACAAGACAGAAAGGATTCCATCTTTGAGGTGTTCTGTTAAATTATTGTTCTGGGTCGCATGTAGTCTTATTGCAATTATCTTAAATTATGAGTACACTTTATAATGCAAGTGAAATCAAGATCAGATTATCTGTTCAAAGCCCCCAGCTCCTGAATTGAGTGTTGAAAAGGAAAAAAAAAAATCAGTTCTGACTTTGGAAACTGTAATTTTTGTTCATAGGAATGATTTTATAAAAGAAAACACTTTGGCAACATAGCAATAACCAATCTCAGCCTGAATAGAGATTCAGCTTACGATTTTAAACCCAACAAAGGCAAAGTTAGCCCTGTTTATCTTGGTTTATGGGAAATAGGAATCATTGTTGACTCTGATAGTGTCATGTGTATGAGCCTTTCGAAAGTTGTGTCTGTAGCCCAAAATGACTTTAGCTCATTCTTGCCTGAGAGTCAGCATACTGACCTGTTACCAAAGTTAAACTTTTTCTGGTATCTGATTTGGGTGAACTCTTGTTGCGTGACAGCTATGAAAACGTACAGCTGCTGAGGAATGCAATACACAAATGCCCGAGGAAAAAAGTTAATAATGTGGAGTTTTACCAGTGTGATCTGAGATTGGCGAAAATCCACACTGAAGCTTTGATTACAGCGTGGCAGGGAAAGTGTATCCTTGTCAGTTTGAGTCCTTTTCGGTTACTGGTGGTCCAGTCCGAGTCTCTTTCTGACAGAGCTAATGAAGATATTTCTTTATGCCATGATATTTGAGTGGTTCTGTACTGCTTAAAGACCAAAAAAAGTAACAAGGTGGGGAAGAGGTAATCACAAAGAGTGCTAAGTTTGAAGAGTAACTAGGAAAGAGGCTAATAAATTATTAGAAAAGGCAGGAAATATTGTTCATAGTGTATGGCAAACACAGACAAGAAGTTGGGGAGAAAGCAGCTTTGTGGGAACAGAGCACATAGCAAGGTGGAGGGACTGGAAACGTAAAACAAGTGCCTTTATTTTCTGTGCATTTGACTCTCTGTGTCCTATTACAGACATACATTTGCCCTCATGCTTTAGAGTGGAGATTGGTTCATTTAGGTTTTTGTTTTGCCAGC